CGGTCCCCGGGAAAAGGGCGTCACTGCGGTGCCCAAGCCCCCACGTCCCTGTCGGGCTCTGCCTGTCCTCGGGACACAGACCAGGCTCTCCTCACGTGATGGATGGCTGCTGCTGTGCCGTCACCTGAGCTGCACTGGCTTGTGACACCCCTATGGGGGACAGCCCCCCCCAAGCCCTCACGGCACCCCTGTTTTGCCAGGCAACCGAGCTGCTGGATGCCATCCTGGAGGGGTACCCCAAAAGCAAGAAAGAATTTTTTGTAAGTAGGGAGGCCGGGCTCTGGCAGCGCTGCCGGGCCAGGGCCCTGCCCTGCTGAGTGCTCTGTGCCTCTGCGCAGGAGGAGGTCGGGATAGAGACGGACGATCACGCTGCCGGCGGCCCCCTGAGGCGCTGGGGGAGTCTTTGCCCCAGAGAGGAGGAGCTGCTGCTGCTGAAATTCAGCTGTGGGGTTGGGTTTGGGGTTATTTCCCTCTTTTTGCAGGCCTGGGGCTGGTTCTGCACGTTCAGATGCGTTTGTTTTAAAATGCTTTGGAGGTGGAGGGGGTGTGGAGCGAGCGGTGCGCACGGGGCCCTCTCACTGTCTCACTTGCAGAGGAAACGTTATTTCTTCCTGCCGAGGTGGGGTGGTGGGGACGGTGTGAGGACGTTGCTGGGGAGTCCCTGGTGTTCCAGCCAGCAAAGGACGCGATGGCCGCAGCGAGGCAAGTGAACTGGTGCCTGTTACTGCTGCAGTTCTCTGCGGGTATTTCCGTGGCTTCCCGCAGCGTGTCTGAGGGGGACAAGAGAGCACGACCCATTAAACACCCGGTGTTTGGTTCAGCTGCCGCCGCTTTGTGTTTTTCTCTGTTCAGAGGGTGTCGGAGCAGCGCTGGGCTCTGGGTGCAGCAGCTCTGAGGGGTGGGGAGGGGACGAGGGAGGAGCGGGTCCCCTGAGCCACGAGGGCTGGGCTGAGCTTCCAAAAACTGCGTCCCCATCTCTGACCAGCTGGAGGGGAAGGCTCCAGGGATCAGCAACAGAAATAAAAGCAGAAAAATCATCAAAACATTCAGCAAAATTTATTTAATTACTTTTCACAATAGAAAAATATGTCGCTTTCACATGTGAGGTCTGTAAAACTCCCCGTCCTCTGCCCCCAGCTCAGCAGCAGAGCCCTGACCCCAGAAGAGGATCTTCCTCAGCACAGAGCAACATCGTCAGGGGTGACACAGCTGTCCCTGTGCATGCTTTACAGGGGACGTGCCTCACCCCAGGGGTCTGGGGCTTCCCCTGCATTGCATTGGAAAGGACACCCCGAGGCAGAGGATGAAGAATAATTCTGTATAAAACAATCATTCTCTGCCTGAGTTCTCCACCACTCACTGCGGGTAGAAGCAGCTGCAGCGTTCAAATCCTGTAACCTGGAGCCGAGCACTGGTAAACCCCTCACCACGGAGGAACAGTGTAAAGTATCTGCTGCGCCTGGAGCAGGAGCACAGCCACGACCACAGCGAGAAAATCCTGCTGCCGGCGTCGCTGCGCTGCAGGAGCCCCAGCAGCACCCACCCCTCGCTGGGCAGCGGCTGCACCGAGGGTGTTGGCCGGAGCCACGACCTGTCCTGGCAGCACAGGACAGGTTAAAGAGTCCCCAGAGCACGTCAGTCTGCAGCTCTGACACCGGCCATACCTCAGGCTGATTGCAGTGATTAATGAAAACAAAAATCAAATCAAATCAAGACTGATGCTGTGTATACAGGTAGCCATATGAAAGGTCTACAGCGGCGCAGCGAGAGCCTGTGCCAGCGCTGAGCTGCAGCTGCAGAACCGCTGTTCTGTCCCGTGCGGCAAAACCCGGGGCACCCTCTGGCCCCGCTGCTCCCGCCCAAGCTACAGCCCCCCACCCCTCAGCAGACCCCTACTCAACACACACTTTTCCCCCTTTGCCAAGTCCCTACAAATATTTGGTAACATCGACTGCGACAGCGCCCAGGGAGCAGCGGTGTCTGCACAGCCTCCTTTTGGTTTGTAGTTAACACAATAAATAATTCTGAGAAGCTTTAAGAACAGCGACAAGGGAGATGGTCCGGCCCTTCCTGGTGCCCGTCCCCCAGGCCCCAGGGCAGGAGCCCCGTTCCCACCGGCGCGGAGGCAGCCCC